GAAGTGTAAAGGGGAGAAAGGGCACCGAGTAAGCGAGCCCGATCAGTGAAGCTTGTGTGATGCATTCTCCACGTTGTCTATTTTGCGACACTGTCCAGTGCATAATGAACTTGGAATCCCGGGCCCCTCCCTCACGACCACTTTATTCGAGTCCAGGTTCGTTCTTTCCCTAGTCCCTGCCCTAGTCCCTTTGCGACTGGTGGGATGAAAGAACCGATGCGCTTGATGCATTCGGAGCAACAATCTGGCTTAATAGTTTTTCGCAATGGACAGACTGAATCAGACCCGCCGAGAAAATTAAGATTTATCTCACAGTGAAATATAAAGAAAAAGGTTTTGCACGATAATCTTGGAAACTCAGAATCGAAAAGAAGATTCGATGGGTTATAATACGATATAAGCAATACTATAGTATACATACTGTTGGTTTTCACTTTAAGTGCATGCCTGTTATTATTATTATTATTATTATTATTATTATTATTATTATTATTATATTATTATTATTGTTTTATTATGTAGCAACGGAGTCCTTATATTTCTCTTTCTTTTCAAACATTATGTAATCTTGCAAGAAAGCAATGACCACGACGAAAATCAGAAAAGTCTACAGGGTATTCCACGCCAAGCCAAGATAAGAATAAAGAAAAATGTATTCAGAAAAAAGCGAAGAAGTGGAAGAACATAACAATAAATGGAGATTTAAGAAATTTCCAGGTCATCGAAATATGATCAAGGGAGTGGTAAACCAACGGCGAATGTTTAAGAAGTGAACGACAAAATAAATACGAACAACAGGAACAGATCACGAAAAGATGGGAAGAATACACAGGAAAAAAGTAATATGAAGAAGAACTTACAAATATAGTAGTGGATAAATATAGATGATTACGAATAAGAACTAGAGCAGGGTATACTACTAGGATAAAGTAAACTCCCCTGTGATAGTGCTGCGATCTACTGAATTTTCCTACAAGTTATTTTCGGTGCATTTAGCCTTAAGTCCCTCATTTACTTAGTAATACCCTAAATTAATTTCCGATACTGTTGAACGCTACAAGGAATGGGTTCAAAGGTTTTTGCAGGCAATCTATTCCGTTCCGTTATCGTTCGATTTGTGAAAGAAAATTTCCCGACAGGAGTCCTCTGCGATCATAAGTTTATTTTGTGCATGTGATCACCCCTACTGATTTATGTAGGAATACTTAGCCGCCGATTAATTTCTTTCCAAGCTTGATTACCACTATAAGCTTTATACAACGCGAACAGTGGTGCTACTGGTGGCCTGTTTTCGAGTGAATCCCATCCTGTTATTTTCTTGTCCCTGGAAGTAAATTTAGCTGCCCTACGCGAAATCCTTTCCAAATTTTTACACTACATAATCTTGTGCGGATTCCATATTCCATTATCGGACGAACAAGCGATAATAGACAATTTGCTTCGCGTTTGCTGTACTCATTATTAAGATGCGCATTACGAAGTGAAAAGATCTCCAGACTTTCCCTATAATAAAATCTACGTGTCTTTTCCAGCTTAATTTACTATCGAAATGGATTCCCAGTTACTTGCACGAGGAAACTCTCAGAATGTCATTATTTAAATGGTCATTTGTTTCTCTGTAGTTAAGGCCTTGCCAAAATTGTTGAATTTGCTTTGAGTGCTATTTATGGACATTTCATTATTTTCCGCCCAGTAATATAACGCATCAAGATCCCGTTGCTGCATTTCTATATCTTCTTTCGAATTCATACTACGATATATTATGCAATAGTCTGCAAATAGCAGACAGTTCTGCAGAAAGTTCTGTTATGCTGTGGGGGAAAAACGAATTTCCGGCAGAAAAACTCTTCTTGCAGGGCCCTAGTATCGAAAAAGTGAAAAAATCCTCTAACACGTGGTGTACCCAGAATCCATGTTTTGGGACTCTTGATACCGAAAAATCGAATGATGGCAAAACGTCTGTCTGTCCGTCTGGGAACAAACGCTAGTGGTTAAACTCTTCGGCTGATTTTCCCAATTTATCTGGCTGCCACGGCCCCTTGAATTTGAAACCGATATTTTAATTTTGGGGTTACTTTATATGAATCCCCTGGGACATTGTCAAAATTAAAAAAAAACGGATCCATAATTTTGTATTAAAATTGGTCGTTAGTGTGAAGGATGTTGGAGAGAATGGTGCGCTTCACCATTCTCTCATTTGCGTTGAAAACAATTTTTAGAAAATTTAAAAAATCAAATTTCTGTTCACTTGAGTTATGAAGAAAACTCTTTTTCTTAATGAAATGTATTCATCAAAAGCAGTTCTTCAAAAAGAGGTCGTGTTAATTTTTTAACGAGTATTGGTTGCGTAATGAAACAGGCGCTTTTAAAATCATTTTAAACAATTTTCTCAGAAACGGCTTCAAATTTTTCTTCATTTTTTTACGCGTATGTAGCAATGAGCTGTTAAAGATATTGGTGATAGTCTTATTTTCGGCGTACTCTGCATTCTGGAAAATTGAAGTGTTTCTAATGTTAAATTCGAATTTCGGGCGTTTCGTTTCAGGCATTGGCAGTTCGGAGAGCAGCAACACATAGGTTTCAAAATTCTTCGAATTCATCCCATTGTTGTCGGTCATGATGTAGATAATATTTTTATGAAAGTAAATAGATTGAGGGAAGGTAATACATTTTAACTTAGAACTAACAAACTTCTGTACTTGAAATTCTAATCGCCAATTATGGTATTAAAAATTGAGAGCTGTCTTCTAATAAAGATAGGCTTGTCTAACAGTATTCTTGCTCTTCTGCATTATGTTCCGTAAATATTGTAACATTTAAATCTATTCATGTTCGTTTTATTTCTAGAAGTATGAAATAACTACTCTTTCTGACTTTGGAAATAAATGCAGATAAGCACGAGGGGCGATTCGTTTGAATTCTTCGGTTTTTATATCGTGGCGCGTCAGGGCCACGATATGTATACTCTCTGCGTCAGAGCCTTCACGATGGAATATCTCACGACATTTTGCGTTTCTCGATCGTACCACTAGATTTCGCATGATCGCGACCGTATCAAGCAATGCGATGCGTTTATAAATATTATAGCGGCACGACCGAGAAAGACGGGAAATGCCGTGTGAATTCCATCGTGAAGACAGGTAAAACTGTCGCGCCACGTTATAATAACCGAAGTATACTCTTTTTCACGTTATAACTGAGTTTTTAGTATGTCAGTAATAACAATATTTTAATATTACTTCACTATTTTCAATCATGCGAGGAAACGTGTGCTGTAACCAAACCCCGTAAGGAGCGTTGAGCGCACTGGAGTAATCCTCCTATACAAGCACCCTCTGGGGGCCGCTGTATTGTCTAGTCCCGTCAGTCGTAGTCATGCCAGGGAATCGCCGACAGGTAGCGCCTTTAATTCTAACACTTTCTTTGATGTGCCATGTATACAGTATTGCATTATACATTAAATTACATTACATTATATTATATTTTTAAAAAAATACGGTATTTGCTTTGAGATTTTGCAATTGTGTCGTGGTAGAAGAATCCATTGCTACTACAAGGTTTTGTTGTTTTGTGATTCATAGTGCGCTATTTGGAAGTAGGCTTATACGTAAAAATAACATGTTGGTTGTTTGAGGCTGCGAATACAGTTCGAGGTATTTGGGAGAGCTTCTGAAGATATCGTGCCGCCGAAACTGCTACACGTCTTTCTAGTCCTTTGATACAAGGGAATGTTCTGAAATGACAAGTATAAAGATTGTTAGCGTACTTCGGCGTAAGGGGAATTAAGTGTTAGAGAAATTGTCAGTTTTACCTGTGTCTGAGCTAGAGGAAATAGTCTTCCCGACTGATTCTATTAGTTTTGTCGGGCACATGCGTAGCCCCGCTGTTTCTTGCCGATCGTGAACTTTTTGAACCATCCCAGCATTCCCCATATGACCGAGGGAAACAACGAAATCCCTGGTCAGGGGTCAGGATGTACGGTCCGGGAATCCAATCCGGACCTCCCCATTGCGCCCTTCTAAAAGGAAGAGACTCATGCAAAACGTTGGAATGCACTTACCAGAGGAAGGACTCATAAGAAGAAGATGTGAGCAAATAATAATGAGGAAACACGTACAAAACAGTGTAAAATCTGTCAGAAACCTCTATATAAGTTGCGTTTTGCCAAGTATCATATGTAACCACCTAATAAAAAAATAAAACTGTTCGATACTAGAAAAAATAATATTTGAGTTAATTTCCTAAACAAATTCCTTTCTTTCAGTCACAAAGTAATAGCCTATTGGGACATAGGTATCCCATGCCCTTGTACTAGTGGGACACGTGTCCCATCACATACTTTTCACTGTGGTACTACAAGACATTGTGCACGGAGAATGCAGTCCCAGTTAGATTTGGAACACTATCACTTGTAATTCACTTTCAATTTCCCCGATACGCGCGTATTTATTCGTTTTTTCACGAGCGATGCGATTCGCCATCAGCTGGCTCGACCGCAGACTTGAAACTATGCAATCTTTTCGCGTGTTAAACGGAAAGGCTTCTGATTTTGTGAATCTGCCATCAATATGCCATGCTGTCTGCGCGGCGCCCAGGAGCTGGCGCGAACTCCCGGTCAGTTTGAAAGCAGTTCAAAAGTTTATTTCAAAGAGTTTCATACTAGAACTGAATCCCCTTTCTCTTTGGGAGTTAGCCGGCGGTTTTTACGGGAAACATTTCTGGCGTGGTGCGTTTGAAATGTATGCTCTTTGCTCGTAATTTGCCTCATGGTATTGTTATAAATGATTGTATCCGAATAACGACGCCAAATTCGAACTGGTTTGACCGCATACGCATCTCAATTAATGTTGTCCCTTGATGTTGAGTCCTAATACTTGGTAATTATGAGAATATCATGAATGGTTCTATTATGTTTACATTTACATAAAATTGCATTACCTAATGTTTAGCAATAGTTAATAATTTTCTAAGTTAAGTAATATTTTCTTGAAATGTGTCAGGTGGTACTCTTTTGACAACTGTGCTTGCCATGGACCGTGGATTAGCTTGTAGCACAGCAGGAGGGACACATCATGCCTTTCCAGAGCGTGGTACAGGATATTGCCTGCTCAATGACTTAGCCATAGCTGCTCAGTTTCTCATCACCACAGGGAAAGCCAGGAGAGTTCTCATTGTAGATTTAGATGTCCATCAGGTGATAAAAGACTTTTGATGTGCCATAGACCTAGATATTTAGCCTGATACTAACGAGATATTCAACTTTCAGGGAGATGGTACTGCTTTTATATTCAAAAACCTTGAAACGGTGTTTACATTTTCAATGCACTGTGGACGTAATTTTCCATTTAGAAAACAGGAGAGTGATCTGGATGTGGAGTTAAGAGAAGGAATTGGAGATAAGGAATACATGAGTTATCTTACTGTGAGTAGACATGTATTTGTTAAACCTCTGCGAAAAACATAAGTAACTTGCCTACCGATGCATCAAACAATTAATTCCAAGTGTTCTATTTATTTTGGTCTGGGCAAGCTATTTGGACACGCCATATACCCTTGCCAGCTGCCATCTATCGCCGACCAAATAACATTATCAAAATTCTCAATTTTCGGTTTCCTAAGACCGAATTCATAGTAGTCATTTATAGGATAAGCTAACCCTTAAGTGAAAAGTGCTTACTCAAAATAGTGTTCACTTTTAGGCGTTCTTATTTTATATACGTACCTTACGACCGCGGAATGAGTGTTGCCTTAAGCGGAAAGGAAATGTGGCAACATGGCATTGGCGGCAGCTATTTCGAAGTTCTTGGCAACCGAGTTTACACACGCACTTCATCTTGTACAAAGAGCGTCCAATTTAACGGGGGGCGGACACTTTAACATACAGTTCAGTTCAAAATTCAGCATCAGACGTTTCTCCAAAAATTTTAGTCACGATGTTTGTTTCCGAAACTTCTTCCCATGAAATTCTGAAAATAATCGGTAGACTAAAAAATAAATATTCGGCCAGTTTAGATGAATTTCCGGATTATTTGTTAAAGGCTTGCGCACCCGCCATTATACACCCGTTAACTCACTTATTTAATGTATCCTAATGCATAGGAATTTTTCCAGATATTTTTAAAACAGCTAAGGTTAAGCCGCTCTTTAAAAAAGGCAACAAAAATGAAATTTATAATTATCGTCCAATTTCTCTTTTCGGTTTTTAAAAAATGTTAGAGAGATTTTTTTACGTAATGATGGAAATGTTTCTTAGTAAACAACACGCGTTTTCAGATTGCCAACGTGGGTTTCGAAAATCAAAATCTACGGAAACTGCCATATTTTCTTTTCTTAGAGATGTCGGTTCGTCCATAGATCAAAACGAAGCACCTGTTGGAATATTTTTAGATCTTTCAAAAGCGTTTGACGTCATTGATCATAACATTTTACTTTCAAAATTACCTTCGTATGGAATTCGTGATGTTGCTCTAGATTGGTTATGTTCGTACCTTAAACAACGATCTCAGAGAGTAGAAATACCTTATTGGAATAATGGAACATTATGTACACACCTTTCTGCTTCTTTGCCAATTGCATGTGGAGCCCCGCAGGGATCGATTTTAGGTCCTATTCTCTTCCTACTGTACGTATGCCCTCGAGGATTAGAAACATTTCTCTGTTCGGATGATACGAATATTCTTTGCAATAAAGAAACCGTAAATAGTACAGTAGCAGATATTTCAAATTGGTTCCGTAATAACAAATTAATAGTAAATGAAAAGAACTGTTTCTATACAATTAGAGACAATGCCGAGCATCTAAAGGAAAGTAATATTGATTTTAACAATAACATTTAGTAGATTATTTACCATTGTGTAAATTTTGTGTAATTCATTTTGGCTTCGTGCAAAATTTTGTATTTAAATTTTCAGTTGTACCTGATGGAGACAAAAAAGTCTCAGAAATGTCATAGCAAATAAAGTTATTATGTGAAGACATTTTTGCACTTATCATTGTGGTTGACCTTAATTTAAAATAAGGGACTGAACAACAAATTAATAGTTATCCATTACCAATATTGGCTGGCCTATGTACATACCATTTACCTTAGTTTATTCTAGAGTATAAGTTAACGTTGTGGAATTAATTGAAACGTATTTGAAGATTATAAACACAACGAATGAGACAAGTGGTCGCAGCGCGCCACGTCTACTCGTCGTTGGAGGTCCGCCCCCTGTTAAATTGGACGCCCTTTGCACAAGATGATTTGCATGCGTAAACTCGGTTGCCAAAAACTTAGAAACAGCTGTCGCCAATTCCATGTTGTTACATTTCCCTTCCACTTAAGGGAACACTTATTGCGCGTTCTTATGGAACGTCTATGAAATACGAGCGCCTATAAGTGAACACTTATTTTGAGAGAGCGCGCATTACTTACAGGTTCGCTTATCCTATAAGTGACGACTATGAATTCGACCCTGCGAATTCGTCCCCTTATAGTACAACCGATGTATTAATTCAAGAATATTTAATAAAATTGAATCTTCCCTTTTCATTAAAAAAATTGGAGCTGCATTTAAGAAAATGGCGTTTAAGCGTTAATTTGGGACTGTTTTTGAGAAAATGGCTTTTGAGCGATTCTGAAAATACGTTCTTTTGTGTTCATTTTCCCTGATAACAATTGTGTTTTCGAGAAACTTTATGACATTAATAAAAGCACATGTACTCATAAATACACTAATGTGAATAAATTGCGGCTAATGTAAATATTGGTGAATGAATTGGTGATGGTAGTTGAGGTGTGATGCTAGTAAATAAATCTACATATTTGTAGTATTGAACAAAATTATTTAGCACTATTCCTATAAAAGTGTAGAATGGTACAGACTTTCTCGCCCTCGTTAGTTTTCTATTCTTTCTACTTTTACCAGCTTTTCCAATAGGCAATCTTCTCGCCTGTTTTATTTCGTTGTCCTAAAAACAAACATTTTCCACATTTTCTTAATTACTCGTCTTCGTAATGTTAGATCTAAAACACTTATTCATTGCACGTCGTAACTGAATAACCGAGGTAGCTAAATAGGGTGAAGAGGGCCAGTGTTCTTTGAATGGCAGGTTCGTTGGTTCGCTTCTTAGTTGGGCTCTATTATTCGTGACATTTCTCTGTTGCCGCAGCAAATAATTGATAATTCAGGGGAAAAAATTTTGAAAATATTTGAAGCAATTCTAATCGAAAATACTATTAATCAAGATACATATTTTGTAAATTTCGAATCCACATTACGCATAAACAGCTCCTTCACAAAATTGTACAGATCTTTTCCAAAGAGGTTATTTTGTACAAGTCTTCGTCTGTGCCAAAAATCTATCTTTAATTTTGTACTTTTAAAAATTATTTTTGTAATTTTCGTAAAATCGTGGAAATGACAGAATATGAGACTTGCACCATTCTCTGAAACGTCTTTGAACAATAAAATTTAACTCAAAACTTTTGGAGCATTTTTTTTTTTGAAATCTTTTCACACTTTTTCGATACGAGAACCCGGCAATAAATGTTTGGCAAACTTTCGGCATTTCTGGCGTACAATTACATAACTTTCTCTTTTTACGAAGAATTCGCAAGGCGAGAAAGTAAAAAAAAAAAGATTTTCTGGAAAACTGGTACCAATTTTTTCTTTACATGTTAGTAGTTGTGCTAAACGGGTTGTGGTAATGAAGAAGTGGATATATCCTGTTGCTAAATTTAGAAAAAAATCTAGTGGTGCAATGAGATGGCACAAACTTGCTCGCAGCATTTAGATTTCTGATCTCTTTAGTTGAATTAGAGACTGTCCCTGTAACTAGTAACTCTGTAACTGTTTCTCTTCCCAGATACTATTTCCTTTGGTCGCCCAAACTACTTTTTTCCACATTTTCTCAAATTTTCGGCTTCCTAATGCTAGAACTGAAATCACCATACGCTGTTATATAAGTTAATAACCCATTCATTACCCGGGTGGCCGAGGTGACTCTTCAGTGTTTACGGCCTCAGTTCTTCGGAGTGGAAGTTCGCTATTCTGTTGTCTCAGAAAATTATAGAAAATTCTAGAATCTTTATTGAAAACCATTTGAAGCAATTCTAATCACAAATAAAATGCGGCGCTTCTGTAGTGTAGTGGCATAAGTGCCGCGCCGTTGATTCTGAGAATCTGAGTTCGAGTCTTGGAGCGGAAAGATAATTTGCTGCTTGAAAACACTCTTGCTGTATAATGTTGCAGAGCATTTAGAAACAATGCGAGAAAGTATGTGCTTTGGCAACCCCAGAACTTAAGTCTATGATAAAAGTTATAATTTTATTTTTTGTTTTATTTATTTACTAGTACAATGAGGCATACATAAATAAAAAATTTTAATGGGAAAGGAATTATGTCCTTTTTGTTATAGGCTGAGTGTGTATATCCTCAACTAACATGAATTTTAAATCTTTAACTCATTGTTGGAGCATTTCTTAGCACAACTTCTAGGAAATGTTTTCATTAATACAATAATCAAAAATTGTGAAGTTTTCTGGGTTAAGTGAAATATACTGTATGAAATAAAGCATATATGAATGTACATTAAATTAATTTAAAAAATTTGGGCAAATATTGCAAGTGTAATAAAGAACATAATATAAATGTAGATTAGTAATAAAACTTCGAGACTTTGAAATGTTATAGAAAACTGAAACATTGGATCATTGTGAAGTGAAAGATGTTTGCAATTGCTTGTGAATATCCATTTTCCTGTGTTTTTTCATTGAAACTGTTAAAAATAATTAGCAGATCAATTGTCTTGCATTTAAGATTATTGGATAGAAATGAACTATTAATTTATTACTTTCAGGATTATCTTCCTGATGTCTTGCAAAACTTTAATCCTGACATCGTCATATATGATGCTGGTGTTGACACGCATGCAGAAGACAATTTAGGTAAATTGAAGATGACTGATGAAGGTATGCATATTTTCTGTAATTTAACAAACAATAAACTCTTTCTGAACTGAAATCATCAGGATTGAAATCCTACTTTCATATAAAAAAATCTGGTTGAACTACAAAATTGTAAAAAAATTAAATTAATGCCAGGACTATTTTTACAGCAATACAAAGTTGCAATAAAAGAATGTTAAATGAACATGAAACATAATAGTATATAGGAGAAAAACTGTAATTGTACAATAATTTTGTAGTACAAAGAAATAGCAAAAAAAAGTTTGATAACATTAACAATAGGGATGACTGACTGAGACTGGTTGTCACTAAGTGATAGTTTTTTTAATGAAATTCAGGTTTAGTTATAGCAACTTTGAGTCTATAGTAATTAAAAGTATGCAGCTATCTTAAGGCATTTTTTTTATTTGCAAATGTTGTACTGTCAGACCTTCAGAGACCTTAAAATCATCAAGTCAAGATGACCTATCAACCGAACTTGCAGGTTTGGTTGACCAGGCCTTGTATAGGTTGGCACTATAGTGTCCCAACCCACCTGGGGTACATAGGGACCAGTGGCCGTTCGTGCCCTCAAACGTTTGTGGTTTACAGAATAAGGCATTAAGGGGGCTCTGATGCTGGGATTGGTATACAATGAATTTATAAGTACGTTTCTGAAATATACTGTACTTAAAATTTCAGATTTTTCTTCGAGACAGTCCCGTTTCCACAACATTAGTTACCATTATTTAATCTTATAATTGAAGAACGTGTGTACGTACTTATTTGTAAATTAAGTCGGTACGCATTTCCTTTTTTGTAGTAAATTTTGTGATAACTCTTTTATTAAAGTCCGCTATTTGGGTAAGGAAGTCTGGCTCGATGGAAAACATGGCAAGAGCTGATACTCAATATTCTGCCATTGAATTGCACAGGTATGTTACTACCATATCCAACAAAAAAATAGAATTATCTCTATCTCGTCATCCTCAACAAAAGAAGTTTTGCCTACTTCCACGGGCAACAAAAAATGCAAGATTCATTCGTGGTGAAGCATTTCAAATACATGCTTTATCATATTCTTTTGTAACAAATTGTGAATATAATATAGAAATTCGGTTAGTGGAGAGTTACAACCAAACTAAAATACGATTTTCATCTGTTATATCGTCACAGTCTGCAGGAAAGATTCAGAGACACCTGGCGGAGATATTGGATCTACTAACTCGCTATTTGTCGAGCACATTGAGAACTTTGTCGCAACAACTCTCCAGTTGCGGTTGACTAACGACATGGGAGATTTTACATTCACAACTTCCCCGCGAAGCCCCATCTCTTCGTTCCTGACAGTCACTGCTTTATCTTCGTCTATATTTCAACGTTTTAAATCGAAAATTTAGCAAGTAATGTAAACGCTCAGGCTCACAGTAAACGTGCGATTTAATTTCTTGTATCTATTTTGCAGTTAATGTAAGAAGATTGTGATTCGATTATGTCTTACGAGAGTAATAATTAGGGCTCGGGTAGTTATGCATTAAAAATATAAAATATATATGTAATTATGAGCTTTAAAACGTGTAGATATGTATTAACAACGCAGAACGTGTGTACGATACAAAACCTCATAAAATTATCATAATTTGTTCTTTCAATCCGTTATTTTTATTACTGAAGATGACACATAGTCTATCAAGTGACACATAGTATATCAAAACAATGCAAATTATGATAAAAACTCACCTGAATTATAGATTCAAACTTGCTGAAGGTAAGTTAATTTTTTCCATCTCAGTGTTTAAGTCATCATTAGAAACCGGATTCTTATGCAATTACATATTTTTTGTCTTTTTGTTTACCGAACATAATCATAACTAGTTATTTTTGGGTTTGAAGGCCGTAGTCCAACGGAGACTGGTCCAAACGTTTCGCCTGCAACTGTGGCAGGCATCATCAGTGGCGTTGCTGGCGGGGGCGAAGTGTCCTTCTTCTCTAAGTGTCTAAGTGTCAACCTTCACACCCGAAAATAACTAGTTATGATGTAGAAACCGGCCGTGAAAGCCTATATTGTATGTTACCGAACTTAAATTGTAGTTTTGGCGAGTCGTCGCCGTCCTAACTCAATATCCAATTTTTTCGTTACATATTTTCACATATACTACTATATTACATATTTTACATTTTTGGTATTTTCTATTCTATGATTTTTTTCAATTTTATTACATATTTGTATAAAAGTAAGTATTTAAAAAATCGGCGATTTCCTTATATCATTACTACATTACTGCATCCACTCCAGGTACCACATATGAAGATGCGTGATGTTCTCACAGCCCGGCACGTCTGTTTGAGTTATATCAGTGGCTGGAAGTGCAGGTCAGCGACAGATTTTCATCTTTTGGTGTGAAAAATATCACTGACGTCGCGGATCATGACCTTTAACTTTAACTTCAGAGAAACATTGACAATCGCCAACGTTTATCATTCAGTGAAAGTTCTTCACGCTGCAGTGATTGTTTGCTGTTCGTAGATATCGCTAGTTTGTACGATGAATGATATTAATATATTAGTGTGTCAGACTGCAAAACAACGGACCTGGATAGCAATAGATGAAGCTTCTACTATTGGCAGATAATTTGTATGGTGAAAATGGGAATGAACGTGTGCTCTCCGTATGATTTTTAAGACAATTATATTACTTTTAAAAATTTGTTTAGGAATTTTTTATACATGTAATTTTGTATTATGTAAATGTGTTTTATAATGAATATAAAACGCATTTACATAATACAAAATTACATTGGTGAGAAAGTATATATATGTAATATAAATTATGTATAATATGTAGTATAAAATTCACTAATTATTAGTGAACTTTATTTTACAGTTTGTATTTGATTTTATATATTTCTTATTCTTACTGTTTTCATTACATATTTATGTACATATTTTGACGATTCATACATGTTTTTCTGGTTTCTAATCATCATTTTAAGGTTTGTAAACAGAAATGATACTCTGTTGCTTCTCAAAATTTATTTGTACGAGAAAAAACAACTATCAGCCACCACAAATGTTATTGGCGCATATTTAAAGGTTGCTATTTCTTCTAGCGACAATGTCTCTTCATTGTCTGACAACTTCGTTCTCCTTTTTACTGGACAGGATATTGAGAGACTTAAGAGACTTTTTATTAAATTTATATTAGATAATTATATTAATTTCTATTAAAGTTAATTGGAACTTACGGAGCCAATTGTTTAACTAATTGATTCTGCTTCGAGATTTAAGGAAAGCCTGTTCACCGCTTGATATTGTAACAACCAACGCGCACTGCGTAGGGAAACGCGCGCGGTAAGCGGCCCGGTTCTAGCTCAGTCGGTCCTACTCCCTTACTCATATGATTCAGTGATGGAAGGCAATTGTAAGGCGAAAGCATGCATGGGCATTCAAAACAAAGCAATTTGGTTACTGGTAAAAAGACAAATGTTTATTCCTGGACACGGGCTGTTAGCGCAGGGAAGTTACAATCGATGAAAAAGAAAAATGGTGAATAAATAAATATAAGATTAGAAATTAAGAAGAACTTACAACTAAAGAAGAGTGGTACAAAAATTATTCTACTAGCTACAATTACAAATTTGTCCTGAGGACGCGTTTCTGTGCCTCAGCGCGGCAAGCCGCTTTAACAATAGTCTTAGGGCTTATTTGACGCCTGATTTTAGCGATTGTTCCTGGAAACCGTCCGTGACAAATGTGCTCAGTAAGGACCCTTGCGAGGGCGGAGGCAGCTGTGGGCGGTTCCTTTCCAGTACGCGGCGCGGGGCACAGCCCTTCAACAACAGGTGGGCGGGGCTGGCGGCGGTCCGTGACATCAGCGAAGGGCGTCTGAGGCTGGCTTCGGCGGAGTCGTAAATGTCCGGGGTGTATTGACCCCCCGATACAAGTGCGGAGCACCCAGAGATTGTCTCTCGAAGCGTCTGCGGTTCCTCTCGAACAAATTTCAGCGAATGGCGAATTTTTGTAGCTGATAAGCAGTGGCCAAAAGAATTCGCCTATCCCCCCGTAAGTGCCTTTGCACTTTCCTCTAAATAAACTTCAAGTGAATGCCAGTCTAGAGGTGGCACCCACCTCTCTCTCCGCGACCGGCTCCCACCCAGAGAAGTCTCTCTCTCCTAATGTAACTTGTAACAAAGTGTCTTCGGAGGCGCACTTCTCGCCTCTCCCCGCGACGGCTCCCACCCAGAGAAGTCTTCTCTCCTAATGTAACTTTGTTTCTCCTACAACGCACGAGGATAAACTCTTCTCCCACCCTTTCTCCTCATGCTCCCTAAAAAGATCGCTTCGCTATTGGCTAAAGGTGATGGCGTTGTACACTAAATTTGGCCAATAGGGCTCCGGCGGAGGATAGATTTTTCCGTTCTCTGTTTCGAAAATAGGTCATGTCTCTGAGGGTGCTTCCCAGCTACTGAATTATTGCTTCGGGATTCCCCGATTACGATGACAGGCGTTTCGGAAGCATTCCAGCTGTGGGCTCCCGCTGGGCGCTTTACAGTTTGACCCCTTTTGTTCGGTTGTTGGGTGGGGTGCCATAAACTCTTCGAATGGGTCAGGGGACGTGGCCGTTGCAAGAAAGGGGCTGCGCGCGTGACGCCGTAATGTTTTTTTCTTGCAGGTACAAAATTCCTTAGGTCTGCTTTACTCAATAGAATTTATCTGAATAATTCTGAATCGCTACAATATTATAGCTACTAACATACCTAGAAATGTTACGAGTGTTATTACTGCCGATGCCAAAAGTTAAAAAGTCGAATCGGAGCGTAGCGGAGCCCAGATATTTAATTTGGACGAGGCAGTAATAACACTGTAACATTTCGTGATGTGTTCAGCGTTTTATCGGTCACCATAAAATCTCAATTTTTTTTTGAGAATGTTTACTACATTACTGCTATATGAAACACATAAATTCTGTTGTTCCGGCACGATAATCGATATTGTTGGGTATTGCTTGAGATAAATCTACTTCA